GGGTCCCCGCCCCAGAGTCAGCCGAGGCGGAGCGGAGCGTTAAGCGGTGCAGATCCAGGGCCAAGCAGACAGCCGCTCCGCCTTCCGAGTCCGCACAGCCCCGACGGCCCAGCCACGCGCATGGCACCCCGGGAAACGCACTGAGCCAGGGGTCGCGGCGCCGCAGGTGGCACAATGGCCCTGGAGCAGGCCCTGCAGGCGGCGCGGCAGGGAGATTTGGATGTGCTGAGGTCCCTGCATGCAGCCAACCTGCTGGGGCCCTCCCTGCGCGACCCCCTGGACGCCCTGCCTGTGCACCACGCGGCCCGCGCGGGCAAGCTGCACTGTCTGCGCTTCTTGGTGGAGGAGGCAGGCCTGCCCGCTGCGGCCCGCGCACGAAACGGCGCCACACCGGCCCACGACGCCGCAGCTACCGGCCACCTCGCCTGCCTGCAGTGGCTGCTCTCGCAGGGCGGCTGCAGGGTGCAGGTGGGTCCGCTGCTCCCTGAGCGGCTTGGGGATTCCTCCCCAGAGAGGGTTTCCTCCCAGCCCCCCTGGCGAGAGGGTAGGTGGGATTGGGCCCTCCTGGCTTAGCTGAACCCTCCTTCCAAAGAGCTGTGGATGGGGTGTGGTCTTCCAGGATTGAGTCCCTGGGCAGATGCCCTAGCAAGGCCTGGCCTCTCCCTGGAAGAGCAGTGGGTAGTATTGGAGAAACCGAGCAGAATTGGGCTCAGTGGGCCGGCAGTTGCATGGGAGAGACACAGCACTGATCCTGGAGTCCTGGGGCGGGGGGCAAAGGGCTTGGATGGCAGAACCAGAAGCCCATGCCCTCCAGGATCCGATCTAGTGGTGGGGATGGACAAAGTCCCACAGCTCACTGGACACTGAGATGCAGAAGTCCCTAAGCCAGGGTGTGGGGCTAGGGTGATGGGACATGAGAATGTGGTCTCCACAGGACGTCAGCACGATCAGGCCTTCCAGCTCTAAGTTACTTCTCAGCTCCCTCTGGGTCTTCTTGTCCCTAGGCCCCAACTGGTCACTTTGAGGAGTGACCTCCCAGGGGAGCCCTGGCTGATGAGAAGAAGCTAGCCAGGTGAGGATCAGGGAGTTCTGAGCATAGGGACAGGAAGTACCAAGCTCTCAGGTGTTCACGTCCTTCTGCTGGAGAACAGCAAGGAGGGAGCGTGTGGAGTGGGCTGCAGAGGGGACAGGCCACCAGGGCCAGGCCAGAGGGTCTCTGGGCTGAGGGGGAGAATTTGGATGATGTTCTGGTTGTGGGGGCAGCCAGTGGTGGGAGGGGCAGAATTGATTTTCCACTTATGAAGAACACTGGCTTAACTGCGGAGACAACGGAGGAGGCGGGGCCTCCTCTAAGCTGGTTTGTTGTGCCCTAAGGAAGGCCAAACCCACCCTAGTCTCATGTCCTCAGAGGGCAAGGCCCCCCTTCCCATCCTTCCTGGGAGGTGGAGCAGCCCCTTATCTCCTGGCTGGCCCTGCTATCGAGGGTTCCTGGCCATGTGGCCTATGCCCACTCTTTTGGGAGGTGCCTGCCTCCCTGATCCTGGTGTGCAGGCTTGGCTGGAAGCCTCCCTCTCCTCCCTGATCCCAGTGTCCAGCTTGGCCGGAAGCCTCCCTTACCACTGCAGAGGAGGTGGAAGGAGTGAGTGGCCTTGTGCCCAGTTTATCAAGTCTCCTGCCCTCCATCCCCAACACACTTGAGTGCTAGGGGTGGAAGTGGGAGGAGGGGATGACCTCGATCCCTGGTTCTGCCCATCCCACAAGATAAGCAGCTTAGGGTGTGGGCCACAGCACAGGAGAGGCCTGAGGCCTGGACAGCTCGTGGCACTCTCTGTACTGTGTCTGTACTGCCATTGCCACCCAGAAACCCTGAGCCATCAGGACCCCCTGGAGCGCCAGACCTTTAGTTCCCAGGGCCAGTGAAGAGGGCCAGCCCTTCTCAAGATCTGATATCAGGACGTCTTTCACCATGGTCCTACTTGGGCCACCTCTAGCCAGCCCTGTCCTGTGAACTCAGGGGACAGACTGAACCAGTCTCCTCACACCCACAGCGTACGAGAGGGGCCTCAGCATCTTCCTCAGCTTCCTGTGGGCCATTTATTCTCTGCCCCACAATCCTCGCCACCTCCTTAATGGGACAGCCAGTCTGTTCCTCTCGTCCCATGACTTGGCAGTGCCCAGTGCTCCCCAGTCCCCTTGTCCTCCTTTCCTTTCAGGAGCCTCAGATTTACCTTCGCCAAGGTCTCTGGCCAATTCCTCCTACCTTAGCCACAGCTGTCCTTGCCCTTGTCATGGGCAAGGAGGGACGAGAGGCCTCACTTTCCTGATCCTAGTGGACTGCATCCACTAGGATATCTCACTGCTGCCCCAACCCCTTCCCTGCCCTGCCTGTTGTCCCAGGTGCCTGGTGTGTTGATTCTAGAGTGCTGCCCAGTTTTTCACATGTATCAGCCTCTGAGTCCAGACGCACGAGTTCTTGCCTGGGTGCTGTGAGCAGCCCCTTCCCCCGACAGACACACAGTGGATGTGTAGTATGGATGTTCTGGGCCCAGAGGTTCTGGGGCTCCTGTAGGGGTCTTGCCCAGCCCCTCCTAGGGACCACCATAGCCCACATATACACTGCTGGCTGACTGCTCCATGGGACCAAGAACACAGCCCGTTCCCATGGCCCAGCCCAGAAGAGTCTGGGGTCAGTTCCTGTACTGAGGTTGGGCTGTCAGAGGTACGCCAAAGTGGAGGCCTCCATCCTGTGAAAGATTTGGGAAGCAGGGAGAAGGAGAGGGCGAGAGGGGATGCAGGGTGTACCCCCCAATCCCAGTGCCATCCCGACACAGCCCAACATCCCCCCCTTCCTGGCCCTGCCTCAGCCAAGCAACACACTTGCTCATTCAGGCGTTCGGTTGTGTCAGGGCTTTGGCCTGGGCCTGGAGCCAGGACTCCTGCTGTCACTCCCGGGTGCCATGTCCCGGGAGCTGTGTGGGGGTGTCACCATTGCATCCTGCAGGCCTCTGAAGACCACAGTGCTATGGCCAAAGCAGGCCACTCAGTTTCCCAAAGACAGAAGCAGGATTCAAATTTTTGGGATCAGCTCTATCCCAAAAAACCTGTTGAGAGAGGCCTGACCACAGCACAAGGGAGGACAGAGAGGACAGGACTGCCCCCCAGGCCAGGGGGAGGCTGGCAGTGGCCCAAGCCCGTGGCAGGGGCAGATCCAGGCCAGAGAACTTGAACCACCTCTCCTCCCACAGGACAAAGACAATTCTGGTGCCACGGTCCTGCATCTGGCTGCCCGCTTCGGCCACCCTGAGGTGGTGAACTGGCTGCTGCGTTACGGCGGTGGGGAACCCACCATGGCCACAGACACGGGCGCCTTGCCTGTCCACTATGCCGCCGCCAAAGGAGACTTCCCCTCCCTGAGGCTTCTTGTCGGGCACTACCCTGAGTAAGGACCCCAACCCTTTTTTTTTTTTTTTTTGGTGCTGGGGATGGAACCCAGGGCCTTGCACATGCCAGGCAAGTGCTCTACCACGGAGCCGCATCCCCAGGCCAGTCCTCCCTCTGCCGTGCCACTCATCTTCTCTGGGTGTGATGGCTTCCTTGGCCATCTCATCTACAAAGCCTGTCCCCCTTAGCCGCAGCAGCAACTGGACTTGGGAAGCTGGACATGCAACCCGTGGTCACCTGCCTGTGTTCATTTAGCGGACTGTTGGAAAGGGGGAGGAGAAGGCAGGAGCACCTCCTGGACCCCCATCAGTCAGGCGGAGGGGCCTCGCCAGTACTCAGGCAGTTAGGGAAGCCGCCCCTCCTAGCCCCGGAGCCCAGGCCAAGTTATCCAGAGAGCACATGCATTCCTGTGGCCCCTCACCCATTCCCACTGCCAGGGGGGACAAGGCTCCCAAACCCCCAGGGTCCCTGGATTGAGTGACTGGTCTGAGAAAGCAGCTGGGTGGTAGGCTGGGGAGCCGTGGGGTGGGGTGGGGGCATGTGGAAGAAAGGGGGGCCCTGCAGAGCCAGAGTCACATGAGAAGCTGGGTGAGGGCAGGAACCAGTTCTCAGGTGCGCCCGAAGGGTAGGGGTCCTGGGGAAAGCCACAGGCCCTTCTGAGGGAGCAGGACACCAATGGGATGGCGCCAGAGTGGTGATTCTGGCCAGTGACTTTTCTCTTCTGGTGGGTGCCTGGTCCAGGAGCCAAAAAGGGGCCCCAACCTCAGGAGGGAACACCTATGAGGTAAAAGGGTCTGGCCCATTCATGAGGGTGCCTTCAGGGCCACTGGCCACCAGGGAGCAGGCCAGAGGCCAGCTTAGCCATGTGACAACACAACAAGGTATCTGTAGCTGGCAGCCTGTGGAGCCCAGGCATACTGACATGGATGTGGAGTGGCTGGCTCTAGTGGTCCCCCCACCCAGGACAGGAGGCTGAGCCTGGTCTCATCGTCCTAGGCGAGGACTTCTTATCTGGTTAGTGGGAGACCCAGCAGGATCTGCCTGGGATGGGCGTGCTCCTCGCAGTCATTTGGTGGCCACTCTTGGGTCAGGTCAAAGTCAGTGGAATTTAGAGTAAGAGGGCCCCAGAGACCCTTGAGTGCAGGGTCTCCCTGTATCATTCACAGGTTTGTCCCAGACTCCGGTTAGACACTCCAGGTTGGGGCTCTGGGAAGCCGCACCTGTGACATGATGCCCCCACCTCCACAGTTACGGTTCTGATGCATCTTCGTGCCCCCTTGCTTCAAGCAGATGACACTAAGGTCCCAAGGAGGAAGGTCATGCAGCAAGGAAGTGCTTCTGCCCCTGCCAACCTGCCCAGTACACCTGAGGTGCCCAGAGGGCCAGGCTGATCCTGGGGCCACCAGAACCTAGCAGTGTGAATTGAGAGGGCTCCAAGCCTGTCCCTGCAAGTACTGATGAGACCTGCTGTCCCTGGCCCTCGGGGGGCTGGATCCCAGGCGTTGGGGAGACTGGCTGAGCCATGGAATACTCTTGTGGGCTTCAGGTCTTGAGGGCCCTGATCTCCTCCCAAACCATGCCAGATCTGGGCATGACCGGGCTGTGGTGCCCAGCTCTGTAGCCAGATGCCTTGGGCTGATGAGCTGCCAGCACCCCCAGGAGTCACCGTGAATCTCAGGGAGGTGGACAGAGGGCTTGGGCTCTGTTCCCTGCAGTGGTGTGTGACCTGGCTGATAAGGAGGTGCTTTTGTGTGGTTGCCAGGCTGGGCTCAGGCCGGAGGGGATGGCTGGCGATTGGGACTGGGGGTTGGTATACCCACACAGGCTCCCGTCTTGGGGCTGGAGACTCTTGCTCCCCAGGGCTGTGCATACGAGGGCTGGGGAAGGCAGAAGCTGGATGACCCTGACCAATTGAGGAGCCAGGCAGCCCGGATCTGAAGGCTGTGACTCTATGCTCTTGTGAGCCTCCTGGGCCTGCTGTGAAGGCCTTTGAATTATTCACGAGGGCTCAGCTCTCTTCCTGGGCCCATGAGCCTGTGAGGGAGGAAGGACGCCCCCCCCCTCCCGAACTGGCAGTGGAAATCTGATACTACGCAGGGAGGCCGTGGGCAGCTGTGGGCTGTGATGGTGACAAGGTGCAGGGGAGGGCTGGACAGCCCGTGGGAGGCCTGCTAACGCCTGAGATGGCAGAAAGGGCTTGGGTCTCTGGGAACATCCTGCACCGACCACTCTTCCTCTAATCTATCTCAGTTCATTGAGCCGGATCTTACCAGAGGCAGAGAGCTGGCCATGGTGACCTCAAGGGTGGGCTGCTGAGCCTCCCTCTGAGCTCCCGCTGAAAAGGAGCCCCTGAACCAGGGCCGGGCAGAGCCGACTAGGGCTGTCCCAGGCCCTGGGTCTCAGCTGGAGAGGGCTACTGACCCTCCTGGACAGGAACATGAGTGGCCAGTGAGGGGATGAGGGGTCTCGATCCCCAGCTGGGGCTGCCTGGGAAGGGCAGGGAGCAGGTAGACCCCTGACCCCCAGGGACCACCCACTGTGCCTCCACCATGTCTGCTTCTGACATCCCTGGGGACTGCCCAGTCAGAGAGAGGCCCCGGGCTCAGCCCAGAACTCAAGGCCTGAGCTTTGGAGAGAGGAGGGAGGCTCCAGGGGCTTCCCGTGGGGGCCCTACCTGTCATGGCAAGCTAAAGATCACTCGGCCCACAGATTCCCTACTCCAGCTCCCTGCAGGGGCCTTCTCTCAGCCCTCCCCCAGACCTGAAACTGCACAGGGATTAGAAAGTGGTTCAGGGTAAACCGGAAACTGCTCCTGCCTGCCCAGTGCCTCCTGGGGCCTGGCACCAGGTGGTGTTCTCTGAGCCTCTCACCCACTCTAGATAGTAGCTCCGTAATCAGTTCATTTTATAGACTCACTCACTCAACTCATTCAAATAATATTCATGTATTTATTTTGGGTACTGGGGATTGAACCCAAGGGTGTTCTCCTCCTGAGCTACATCCCCAGCCCTTTTCTATTTTTTTGTTTTATTTTATCTTTATTTTGTGAACCTCCTATCTCAGATTCCCAAGTTTCTGGGATAATAGGCATGTGCCGTCACACCCAGTTTTGACTAATGTTTATTGAGCATCTGCTATGTGCTGGGCAATATTCTAAGCGCCAGAGATACATTAGTGAACCAGGCAGATGTCTCTGCCTCGTGGAGCTGGTCGACATAGACATGGTGCCTCCAAGAGGCTTATTGACCAACTGCAGGCACCACTGGTTTGCTGTGTGACCTTGGGCAAACTGCATCCCCCACTCCTGGTCCAGGTCCTAATCTCTCAGTGTTCCCAGTTTGCCAAGTACTTCCCTTGGTTCCTTCTTTAGTAAAATACCTCATGGAGGGCTGGGGTTGTGGCTCAGTGGCAGAGCACTTGCCTCGCACATGTGAGGCACTGTGTTCGATCCTCAGCAGCTCATAAAAATAAATAAACAAAATAAATACATGTATCCATCTCTAACTAAAAAAATATTAAAAAACAAAATGAGAAAAAACAAAAACAAAAAAAACCTCATGGAGCCTGGCTGCTCACAGAGCTTCAGGCGGCCCTTGGCGGGATGGGTAGAAAGGGGCTTCATGAGAGGGGCTTCCCCAGGGACTCACCTCTTAGGGAGCCCCAGGGCCCGAGGCTCAGCCCTCCCTCCCTTTGTGAAGCCCGGAGCTTTTGCCTGGGCTGGGGCAGCCCCTTACCTGCTGGGCACCTGTTTCTGCCTCAGGCAGCAAGGACTCACTCATTCTTAATTACTACTCCCAGGCCGACTCTTGGTATTTGTGGAGGTCACCTGGGCAGCAGGGCCTGGGGCAGGGCTTGTGCTACCTGTTCCCAACTGGGAAAGGCAGCAGCCAGCCCTGCCCCTGTCCCAGGTGGAGGCTCTGAGAAAGGAGGGCCAGGCGGGATCTGGGAAGCCCCCGAAGTGAGGCTCTGTCTCCACCCACAGCTCCTGGTCCTGGCCTGTCACCTAACTGTGGTCCACCAGCCGCCCTCTGACTGGTCTCCCCACCTTGATCCTGGCCCTGCCAGCCCAGCTCCATCTGTAGCCTTTGACAGTGCGGAGAGACCACTAGGCAATGGACAGGCTCCTGGCTCGCCGACGGTGAAGGCCACCCCTTACGGTGGCCTGGGGGCCCTCCCACCTGGCCCTGTTCCCTCTCACCTCAACCCTCCTCCCCATAACTCACCCGTGCTCCTCCCCAGCCTCACTGCCCCTCCTGGGGGCTGGCACCCTCCAGCTGCGTGGGTGGGTTCCTCTCCTGAACCTCTCCAGAGAGCCCCTGCCTGCTGGGTCCCCCTTCGGGTCTTCCCTGGGTGGCCACCTTCTCAGCCAGGCCAGCCCTGGGCCTGCTCACAGGGTAACCCGCCCCCACAACACGCTGGTGGCCTGGCTCTTTTCCCCTGCGGCCCTGATCAGGAGCTGGCATTGTGTGCCACCTGCTCTGTGTGTTCCTCTGTCTGTCCCCGTAACAGGTAGTGAGTGTTTGTTGGATGGAGGAGTCTGGGGCCATCAGACTAAGGTCGCCCCTCTGACCTTAGATGAAACTCCCTTTCTGAGCCTCCACGTGCCCATCTGGCCATGCACTGTCTGTCCTACCAGGCTGAGCCCTAGTGAGCGGGCATCAGGCAGGTCCTTCCTGCTCGCAGACACACTTATTTTTTCAACAACTAGCCTGAGCCCTCTAACCTTCCAGCCCGCCTGCACCGGTGGCTCTTGAGAAGCAGAGGACAGAGTCGGGAGCAGGCAGCCCGTTTGGATGTGCGTTCTGGCTGCTCCTGGGTGCTGGTCTGCCAGCCACTGGCCCAGGAGGACAGAGCTCCAAGAGGCCAAGGGCTCTGCCGCTTTCACGGCTCTGCCTGTCCAGCAGGTAGAGCCCTGGAATCTGCGTCTACAGAAAGAACACAATAAAGTAGAGAAATTGGGAGGAAATTCTCTAGGTTGAGGGGGTTGGGAAGGCCTTTCCGAGGAGCTGGGAGTGGACACTGAGTTGGAAGCAGTCAGCCATGCCAAGCTCTGCCCTGAGGGTGTAGCCACAGCCCTGGCACAGAGGGCGGAGGCAGGGTCTGGCTAAATGGCAGGTCAGAAGGAAGGTCTGGAAGGCTGGAAGAGTTGCAGGGATGTGCTGGCCTCTGGAACTATTCCAAGCTTGTCGGGGATTAGGGTGTCAATGGACTGTTCTAGAATCTTCCTCAAAACAGGGTTGCGCTTCTTCCCTGAACCAAGCCTGATTTAGGCTCTTTTGCTATAAGCAGGGGGCGTGATGCAATGCAGAGCCAGAAGGCTGCGTGACTCTTCAGGTCAGCTCCAGCCACAACAAGATCTGGTCCTTGGGGTGCCAGCCGCTTTCTGACCTCTCTCAGGGCAGGAGTCTTAGGCAGCTGGGAGGGCCACTGGACATTTTGCTCTTTGACCTGAGTCTGAATCCGTGGGGGGACTGATCACTCCTTGTTCCCTGGGCCAGCATGAACAGTAAGCTGGCACAAATTTGGACAGAGAATTCCAACAGACCCTTACAAGCTTTCTACATTTCTTTTGTGCAGTCAGAGGGTGGCTTGCTTAATAGTTACAGTTTGTCCAGATCATCTTTTTCCCCTAAGCGAGAAGAAAAGCGTGGTTTATGTGATCACAACCAGGAAGCTTCCAACCTATGAAAAGGGTTTGGCTCAGGGTCTGTGAAGACTCCAGAGTTTGAGATCAAGAAGGAGGGTGGAGCCTGATGTGATGATGGCCATGCCTATAATCCCAGTGACTTGGGAGGCTGAGGCAGAAGGATTGCGAGTTCAAGGCCAACCTCAGAGATTTAGCAAGATGCTGTTTCAGATATTTAAAAAAGGTTGGGTGAGACTGGGAACAGTTCATTTCCCTGAGTTGGATTCCCAGTAGGAGAAGGAGAAAGAGGAGGAGGAGGGGAAGAGGGAGAAGAAGGAGAAGATGAAGAGAAATGATGTCTAGCCTAAGCTGTGCTTGGCCTGGACACCCCATGACAGCTGTGAGTGCCCCTGGTGGCTGGTCCTCCTGGTATGAGGAGGCACATAGTGGCTACCACTTCACGGATGGGGTTTGGAAGGCAAAAGAAGGGATACTGTGGCACAGCTTGTGGGGGATAGGACTCACACTAGGCCCTGGGCCTTCCTGTGGAGTCCCCATCATGTCCAGTCCCACTCAGAGCTGAGCTCACTGGCAGTGAGGCTCCTGAATGCCCAGCAGTGAGCTCTGCAGAGAAGGACAGTTGTTTATGCACCAAGAGGGAGACAGACAGAGAGGACAGCTGTGGACACTGCACAGCTGGAGTCCCCCTCCAGCTCTCTGACCTTATGGGCCAGGCTCACAAGGTTGGCTCTGCCTGCTCCACCTCAAGTGATGGTAGCTCTCTAGGGCTCCTTTCCTCGTCGATAGAAGGAGACTGATGCTCCCAGCCATGAACGCATGGTGAGGACGAGATAAGAGAATGGGCGCATCGCAGTACTCGGAACAAGTAATCATTCAATAAATAGTAGCTGCTGTCACTATTATTAACCACTTTTTTATTACTACTGTTATCCATTATTCTTTCCAAGTGGGAGTTCTCTTTTGTTCCTTATGCTTACCCATATTTTTGTAATTCTCCCCAGTGAGTGGGAGGGAGCCCATATTTCTCTTGCCTCCAGGTCAAGCAGGAAGAGAACTAGGCTAGTCCTCTAGGCACCCCTGTGGCCCATCAAGCATATGTGCCCTATGTCCCGGGGTCTCCTGGGCAGGAGGTTCTGACTGCACCATAGAGATCATGGCTGAAATACTAATAATAATGGGGGCAGGCTCCAGTCTTTATTAGACTGTCAGGACTCTGTTGGGAGTGGCAACTAGTAGGCACCACTGCCCCCTGCTGTCCATCTCCCTCTCAGACTGGCTGGGCACCCTAGCGTGATAGCTACCTGCCACAGGGGGTGTTGGGAGGGCAGAGCTCAACACAGATCTGGTCCCCTTCGTCATTTACACTGCCTTGTGCTGCCCCCTGTCCCAGAGAGGGCCCCAGGCCCCAAGACCCCAGCACTTGCCATGCCTTGGTTACAGGGTGAATAATTCAGGCTGCTGAGTGTCAGTCATGAAATATTCAACAGGCTGTTCCTGGCACACCAGCATGCGTATGTGTGGGGGCAATGCCGGCACTGGGGCGTAGAGGCCAGGGCAGCGGGCCAGCATGTTTCTGAGGAGAGGTGCATGGCTGGGCCTCTGGCTTGCCCTGTGCTGATTGGCAGGACCCTCTCTGCTCTCGACAGGGGCCGGGGGTGGGGTACAGAAGGACAGCCAGGCACAGCGCCTCCTCCCCTCAACTTATAAAGCACCACGCTCTGCTTTGGCCCCAGTATTAGCAGATCTGTGTCAGGGAAGCGGGGTTCCCAGGCCAGAGAGTGATGCCCAGTGCAGGCTGCAGATGACCTGGGGACTCCAGGGACAGGGAAGTGGACAGAGAACGAGAAGTCTACTGGGAGGCATGTGTGAGAGAGAGGAGAGTGCACACATGGCTCGGTCACGCTGAGGTGACAGGAAGGTGGGTGAATGAGCAGATAGAGGAGGAGGAAATGGCTTAGGGCATGAGCTGATGGACAGATGGACAAGCAACTGGATGAGAGACTTGGGGGGTGTGGGTTGTGCATGTGATTGCCACTGTGGGTGTGTAGATACGGAGGGCAGTTGAGGGTAAGGATGTGAAGAAATGTGTTCCTAGGGTGCCAAGGTCTAATCAGAGCCCGGCAGGATATAGCCCCTATCTTGAGCTTCTAGACTTGTAGAGAACAAGGGGGATCTGGGAGTAGATTGTGGCTCCACCTAGTGTCCCATTGCGGTAACTACACTCTGGACTGACTTCACCCATCCATCAGCCTAGTGGCCAGGCCAGCTTCTGTGTTCCCTAGCAGCACCTCACCAGTGGGGCTGGCTCACTGTTCCCCAGTTAGGACAATGAGCTGGGTGGAGAAGCAAGGATGAAGGGCAGTGACAGCTGAAAGGTAAGCTGTAGTGGAAGCACCTGGGACATAGGGCCCCTCCCCCACTCTGTCTTTTCAGTACCTGCAAACTTACTGCAGGTGAGGACCTGCATCCCAGACAGATATGTGTTCCCATGCCACTTACCAGCTGAGTGGCCTGTGGCAACACATGGACCAAGCCTCAGTTGCCTTTCTGCAAAATGGGAATGACAGTGGGACTTAAGATGAACCTTCCTAGCTAAGCATGGTGGTGCACAACTGTAATCTCAGTTACTTGGGAGCATCAGACAGAGGGATTCCAAGTTCAAGGCCATCTTGGGCAATATGATTAGCCCCTGTCTCAAATTTTGTAATAATAATAATAATAATGACTGGGAATGTAACTCAGTAGTAGAGCACTCCTGGGCTTAATCCTCAGTACTGAAAAAAAAAAAAAAAGAAAGAAAGAAAGAAAGAAAAAGAACCACCACCACCACCTTGGTGCACAACAAAACCCAGGATGTCAATGAACTTCAAATTTGAGATAAATATTTTTTGGTATAAGTATGTTCCATGCAATATCTGGGATATGCTAACACATTATTGATATTTATCTGAAATTCAGATTTAAGTAGCATCCTGTGTTTCATCTGGCAATGCTAACCCTCCCTGAACTCCAAGAACTCCCTCCTCTGGGTTAGGCCTAGGCCAGAAGCCGTTATGGCTAACCAAGTATGACAGGCCATCCACGGAGCTGCCCCAGGGTAGGAGGGGTCCAGAGCAATGTAGGACATTGGTAAAGGTGGGACTGTTCCCTAAGAGCAGGATGTGCTGTCAGATGCTTTATAAAAACCAGGCTGCTGTGGGTGGGACCACAGCCAAGGGGACCGGGAGGCTGCTGTGGGACCTAGTCCAACCCACTCTCCGGGTCCTCTGGGGCTCCCAGGATTGGGGCAAGGACGACCGCAGGCACTGAGAGACCATGGTGGGTGTTGCATATTCGCAGGGGAGTGAATGCCCAAACCAAGAATGGTGCCACGCCCCTGTACCTGGCGTGCCAGGAGGGCCACCTGGAGGTGACGCAGTACCTGGTGCAGGAGTGCGGCGCGGACCCGCACGCGCGCGCCCACGATGGCATGACCCCACTGCACGCAGCAGCACAGATGGGCCACAGCTCGGTCATCGTGTGGCTGGTGAGCTGGTCATAAGAAGGGAGGGGGCCTGGGAATGGGCACGGGGCGGTGGCCCAGCCAGGAGGGGCCTGGTGCCCAGTCCCCGCCCTTTTCTCCGCCCCTCTCTCCAGGTGAGCTGCACCGACGTGAGCCTGTCGGAGCAGGACAAAGACGGCGCCACAGCCATGCACTTCGCCGCAAGCCGCGGCCACGCCAAAGTGCTCAGCTGGCTCCTGCTGCACGGCGGCGAGATCTCAGCCGACCTGTGGGGCGGGACCCCGCTGCACGACGCCGCCGAGAACGGCGAGC